CCATCATCCAACTTTGCCTAGTCCGGAGTAATTTCCTGAGCCCCCTGGGCTTGCATATCCAGAGCTCCAAAGCCCTGAGGGCTCTCACATCTCCCTTTCCCTGCCAGGCAAGACAGGCTCTAGCCATACTACCTCCCACCTAGCCTGGCTCCAGCCCTCATGATGCATCTACCCTTTCCCTTCCCACAGTATTACTCCTACCCTCACCTCTGAATTGACGCAGGGTTCCCATGAGCCCCAACTCAGTAAGTTTGGAAGCCTACCAACTCCTAGGACTGTCCCTCTTGATAAGTATCTCTTAGAGAGGGTAGGTATGCAGTTGCTTCCTTGCCACCCCTAACCAGAAATCTCCTATCACCAAAACCTACAGCCTAGCTGCACCCACATGCTCAGAAGCTAGAAGCCAGCCCAGCCAGGAGATGAAGCTCTGGACCAGCACTCAGAGCTGGCTGCAGACAGAGAGTAGACTATCGAAGTGCCCAGAGAACACCAGGCACATGCTAAAGGAAAGTCAACGGCCTGTGCTTACTTAAAATGTTAAAATGATAGGTTTCTAAAGTTCAAGCCTGGCACCCTTCATGGGTAGAGCCCTGTCCTGGCTGTGCTGACCCTAGCAGTGGTCACACCCAGACCTCTGGGCATGCCTTCCTGCCAGCTCATCTCCAGTATAAGCATAGCAGAGCTATAGGTACCCACTGCAGCTGGCTGAACTTGCTATATGCACAGGGCCTCTGAGACTGCTTGGCTGTGGGATGTGCTTTCTGGGTTAGGGTGTCACACATAACCAAGGACAGCCAAAGAACAGACTAGGTGGAGGCAGAAGCCAGTTCTACGTCAGCTAATAGCATATAGGGGTACAAACATATGTCATACATAACATATACAATAAACACCTGCAGACACCTCATGTATGTACACATGTGTATGCCCATGCTCACATTTGCATGATACAGCATGTAGTTAATGGCTGGCTCTGTGCCAGGCAGGCCTGCACTGGGAATACTGTGTTGAATAAACAGCAGGCCCTGGAGAGCATAGCACATTGATGGCATGTGGCTATTGTTGATGGCTCTGCCCCAGAACACAAAACAAGATTCATCTGGCCTCTCTGCCTGACATGGTCCAAGTCAGACACATCTCTCTTAAGCAGCTGCGACCCTGCTGGGGCTGTCCGACTCCACTGGCTGCCCCTCTGTCCTCCCATAGCCTCCCCTCTCTACAGTGGCCCTTCCAGCTCCTCAGACAGAGGTCCTTTCTACACCCCGCTGACATCTCCCCTCTCACTGCTCTGCACTCATGCTGACAGGTCTGGCCAGTCCTAGGTCCTCCAATCCCACACACAGTAGTGACTCCTCACATTTCTCCCCACATAGAGCTTGAAGCAGGGTGCATTGCTTTGGCGGGCCAAGGGTGCGTGTGTGTGTGCTGGCATAGAGTGGGAGCTGGCTGAGTGGACACCGGAGGGGAGGACCCACAGGAAGACTATCCAATAGCTGAAGTGAACAGGAGCTGGCTGGGGTGGCAAGGGCTGTGATAGAAGAAATGGAAAGAGCGAGTAGGAAAAGTGGATGTAGAATCAGACCCCAAAGAGCAAGGGATGGTGTGGAGTGGGGCTGGAGAACTCTGGAGGCTCCAGTGTAGGGTAGGGAATGGCGGCAATGGTGGGTGTGGCCCCAGGCAGAGATGTAGATAGAGGGAACAGATGATGACAAGCCTCGGCTACTTGAAAGGTCCCAGAGCAGCAGTAGGGAGCTCAGATGCTGAGTCAGGGAAAGTAAAATGGTATGTAAATCCTCTGGTCACCAGGCAGCCAAGAGGGTGAGAGACAAGGCCAGCAGGGCAGGGAAGGGGCAAAGTCTACTGCAGGGATGCTAGAAGAGTCAGCTTCTCCGCATTATATACCTGCATGACCTCCCAAGCTTCAGCTTCTGTATGTAAGAGAGAGACACCCTCCCATAAATAATCACATCCCTCAGGGCGAGGGAGCGCAGAAATGCAGGGACACCCAGACCAGAAGCTATCCAAGCCAGAAAGCAGCGTTCCTCCACAGCCCTTACTTCGATCTTTCCTGCCTCTGGGTTACTCCTTTAGATAGAGTATAAACTGTAAGGTGAAACAAACCCTTTCCTCCCCAAGTTGCCTTTAGTGATGGTTTAGATTGCAACAGAAACCTAAGACAGACCTCTCCCATGCATGAGGACCCTATGTCACCACCTCTTAACACCATACTGCTAGGGACCAGCTCCAACAAAAACACCCAGAAAGCAGCACAGGGACTGGGCTGAGCTAGCCTTGGACAGGTGCTGTCCAGCTGTCTGTGCTCAGCTCAAGCTCAGCCCACTCTTAGGAACCTCACACCTCCTAGGAGTGTGCGGTGTGACCCTACTGTACATGGGAACTCAAGTACAAGACCCATCTAGGAGTCAGCACTCCCAGGGGCACTAGGCAGCTGCTCTGTACCTGAGCAGACCCCTTAACTGGACCAGATGAGCTCATTGAGACATTCACTTCCTTCTAAGGTCCCATAACAGGACATGGAGCCCAAGGCTTGAGGTTAGGATCACATACTCTATGCTGGAGTAGAAGCAGTTTAGAACTACAGGGAGCCCACTGTACCCCCAAACCAAGGTGTGGACCTTGAGGGCAGCACACCATCCCTCTCTTGGTCCCCAAGCCAGATGCATAAGCCCCAAGAAACCCAACTCAGGCTCTGAATCCTAGGTGGCCCAGCCATATCACCCTTTATAGCCCAGTGAGGGGACCCATCTTGTTAAGGCACATAAAAAGGTCACCAGCACTGTGACACATCTGGACACATTTGGGAATAAGACCTCCAGGACAGCCCTCAGGCTACCTCTATGGTTAAGCAATAAGGACACAAATGACCCACCTCAGTACCTTCTCTTGTCATCAGCACAGAGGACCTTCTCACCCTGCCTGGAGCCCTGGCACTAGTGCTTTCTTGTCAGAAACAGGTCTGGCATGAAGGAGCAAAAGCCCAGGTCCGTGAACATTCCCTCACAAGCCCCTGCTCATGCCCACCTGTGGGTCTAGGGCCCAGGTGGTGAGGGGTCTCTTCCTGTCTTTGATGTCCCCGAACCACCTTCCCAAATGTAAGAAGCCCCCACTCACCTGCAACATGAGTTCACATTCATCACGCCCCACGAAGATGAGTTCGCGTGGGAGCCGGTGGCGGGTGCCACTACTGCTCACCAGGAACCATGATGTGACGCTCATCTTGGCACTGAGGAGGCCTGCCTGGCCCTGTAGGGAAAGGGTCAACAGTGGGGCTTCCCAGCCTGGACTTTGGTCCCCTGGATATGCCCAAAGGCAGCAAAGACCTGCTCCTTTAAAGACTCATAGCCAAGGTCTCAGCATCTGCTTTGTCCTCCACATGCTGCATCCTTTTTCTCTCTAGGTGACTCTAGTCATACTGTCCAAGGACAGATCCACATGTCTGAGTGAACCCTGAGAAATAGTTCCTAGGTAGTGCCCAGCCCACTGAAGTCTCCAGGATGTATCAGAGGGTCTGCTTCCCTCCAGCAGGCCACTCTTCAAATCCTGGGGTGAGGAAGAAGTCCTCAGAGCACAGCACTGGCTCCATCACTACAGGGCCCAGCACAACATGAAAATTCACACACAGGAAATTAGCTTCGAGAGCAGAGCATGGTCTCAAGCATGGGTCTGGGCAGTGGCTCTGTGTGACACTGTTATCATACCGGTATGGTCTTGGCATAATAGTCCAAAAGGGCAGTCCAGAGCTCCTGGGGCCCAGTGCATCACAGTCTAGTTCTTTACATATTGTGAAGAACAAGTAGAGTGACAGGGGTGTAGCTCAGTGGCATAGCGCTTGTAGGTGGGTGTCTGGCCCTGGATGTGAACCCTTGTGCCTTAAAACACACACACACATACACACACACTCACACACACACACTTCATAGGGAAATTGCTGGCAGTCAGGAGACAGAAATACCAGGAACAACTAAGCAAGTGGAAGACTCATCAAGGGGTAAGGCAGCAAAGTGGGATAGACAGGAATGGCCACCCTGGGGAACAGAGGTGAAGGCAGAGCCCCAGCGTGCAAGAGTTTGAACTTAGAGAGGCAAGGGAGTACAGAAAGACTCTGGGTCCTGCACAGGGCTCGTCAGGTGGGAGCCATCACTGAGGCAGGAACAGCCAGCCATATAAGGCCCTCCCTCATCTCTCTGGGAAATATGAACACACACACACACACACACACACACACACACACACACACACGAGAGGTCACACTGATCACAGGGCCCAGGCCTTGTCCTGCAATGTCCAGTAGTCAGCCTAGAGGCCTCAACACAGGGCTGCTCACCCAGGTCTCAGTTCTTCAGGGTAAGCAGCAGGCAAAAACACGGGGCTCTGCCCATCTGTGAAGGCCCAAGTGACCAAGCATCCTATAGCACTCCATGAAGAAGCAGAAGGAAAAAAATCCTGCCTCAGTAGAAAATAGCTCCAGGTGGTCAGGAACACACCCCCTACCCACCCACCTCCACCCTCCCTTCTTTAGGGTCTAGCTCCTAGAGGGACAGAAAGGAGTGAGATTTCAATGCCCTTGCAGCCCCCACGACACAGACCCCATGGGGGTCTCCATAGCCCTAACTCCCAGAAAGACCCAATCCGACCAGCAAAGGTGTCAGGCTGTCAAGGGAGCCCCAGAGGGTCATTGAGCCTCCCAGCCCCACCCAGCCACTCTTGACATCACCTGCTGCCATCTCAGTATGGCCAGCAGTCACGGGGACTCCCTCAAAGGAGGGGGAGGCCAAACCCCAGACCCTGGTCATTAGGTGACCACTGCCACTGCCAGTCCAACTTGGAAAGGCTTCGGAGCCAGGGTTTGCTGGAAGAGGTTTGGGCTGGGTTGGACCGGCCATCGTTGCTAGGAGGGAGAAAAATAAACACCCCAAACTTGTCCCCTCAACCGCGTCAGCCAGAAGAGCCACCACCCGAAGGTGAAGGAGGAGGTGGCGATGCGGATGCTGAGGAACAGAAGGAGGCAGGGGGCAGCACAGTGGCTGAAAGGAGCAGACAGAACGAGGTCCCCTCCTGGCCGCCGACAGGCCCAGAGGAGGCAGGGTAAGCAGGGAGGCGGTGGTGGAAAAGGAAAAGGAGAGAATGAAGGCAGACGGAAGGAGGGACCGGGAAGGGGGGGGGGCGGACAGCCGGGAGGAGGCCGGGAGGCGGGCGGGCGCGCCAGGCCCAGAGGGGGAGGGAGCGGCGTTGTCTCCTGAATCAGCTCTGGCCGTGCCCGGGCGGGGACCCGGCGCCCAGGTCTACCCGCTTGGCAGGCCGAGCAGACATGCGCGGGGCCAGGCCTTGTCGCCGGTGCCAGGCGGCCCCTCCCAGGCGCGCACAGACCTGGGCAGCATCGGCGGCGGCGGGCACTGGCCCGGCCAGGTGAGCCAGGCGCCCTCGCCCAGCGCCCTCCTCGCCGCCGCCTTTGTCCAGGCCCGCCCCGCTCCCGTGTGGCCCTGAGGCGCGCAGGTGCCTTGCTGGAGGCCCAGCCGCCGTGAGCGCAGGGCCGGCGCGGCCCCTCCTGCGTCCTACCTGTGCTCCCGCCAGACCCGCGGCTCGCCCGCCTGGTCGCGGCCCGACCCAGCCCGGCACTCCGCCCGGCCGGCCGAGCGCTGGGCGGGGCCGCCGCCTAGGACATGCCCGGCGCGGCCCGCACGCTGGCGGCAGCCCCGGCCGAGCCCACGGGCAGAGCGCCGGACCGCGGCCTCGCGCGGCGGGTCCCCTGACGTCTGCGGCGGCACGCTCCGCCCCAACGCGCCCCGCCCCCGAATCGCCCCGCCCCGTCCCGAATGCCCCGCCCTCCGGAAACCAGGTTAGGGCGGGTCAGCCGCAGCAGGTGAGCTGGACTCTCCAGCGCCACCCCACAGGCTGCGCGCACCCTCCCGTTCAGTCCACCCTAGCCGGTGCAAACGATCAGGCCGGAGAAACTGACGATCGACCTTTATCCCTGGCTCGGGGCTACGCGTCTCCCCACCCTGTGTACCCGACCCTCTCCTCTCCGGCTTCGGCTCCTCCAGGGCTGCGGAACCGGGCGTACAGCTGCCCAGTGTCCTGGCCCAGAGCCGAATAGTTAACACTTAACCACATTCCAGAAGTCAGGGCTCCAGTCGCGCTCCCAGCCCCAACCTTTGGCCCTTCAGCCCGGTCGAGGGGTGCGGGGCGAAGGAAGTAGGATGAGTCCCAGAAGCCTGTGCGTCCAGCTGGGTCTCTTCCTCCTGCGCCCTCGATGATGCTGGACCGGCCGTGGACTCGGGACTGGGTGGGTGGTGGGCAAAGACGCCAACCTACCTGGACGTCGCAGTGGGCTGGGCAGAGAAGGGCGGGGAACTCCGAAGGCGCTCCTAGTTCCAGAGGTAAGTTCTCACCGACCGCTAGTTGGTGCCAGGTGCAACAATGGAGGTATCAGGTGTCCCTCGAGAGCCAAGGGGGAAGGGATTAGCGCGGGCGGGGCGGCTTTGAAGAAGTAGTGGAGGAATTGTGGTCAGGAGTAATAGTGAAGGCCTTGGCAGAAGTGGCACGCAAAGCAGGACTCCAAGCCTGGAAAGTAGACTTTATCCTGCGGTAGAGGAGCTGCAAGGGTGCAACCCAGACCACCCGTCTCCGAAGTCCAGGCTTCAGAGCCTGCGGTCATAGTTGCCCAGCCCTTCCCTAGAGAAGGACACAACTTAAGAACAGAGGCAAGCCCACCTGGAAGAGGCAGGTAGAAACATCTCCGTGAGAATGTGCCTGGCTGTTAGGCTCTGCGAACTTGCAGCGAAGGCCGGAATAGGGGAGTCTGGATTGCAGTAGGGGCAGAAAAAGAATGTGGCCCGGTGATCGGGCTTTGGATGCCATCCCAAGGACAGTGTGGCGCAGGAGGTTTGTGCCAGCTGAGACCTGCTCAGATGAAGACCTTGGAGAGAGCTCTAGATGTCCATGTGGGCGAATGGGAGTACTTTGTGGGGGAGGTCAGGACTCCTAGGAGAGGCTAGAGGGACTGAAAGAGATGGAGGCACAAGAGGAGGCCAGAAGGCAGACTTGCCAGGTCCTGGAAAGAGGGAAACTGGGTACTTTCCTCCCTTCCCACTCCACCTGCTCTTGCCAGGGCTGTTAGCCCCAGCACCAGCTTCTGGGAGCTGTATGGGGATTCCCAGGCTCTTCCTTAGGCACAGACTGACTTGTTTCTGAGACCCAACTCCTGACTGTGGCCCTTTTCCCATTCTCAATGCTTTCCCCAGCGGCTTCACTGCCCTCTTAGCTTTGCCTACCCTTTGTTTACTCCTTAGTAATGGATTTTTTTTTTTTTTTTTTAGTAATGGATTCTTGTAAACTTTTCTTCCTACCTGGAATGTGACTTCTTCCAAGGAAGGACAGGGGATGAAGGAATGGTGTCCTGGATTCCCACTGAGGCCCTTGCCTTCTGGGCAGGTTTGGAGGTAGACTGTTGCTTACTGGATGGGAAGGGGCCAAGCACACTTGAGTGACGGATCTGAAAGCAGAGCTAGTGGTAGCTTTAGTCTTCATCAAGTGAGGGTCACACTTAGGCCCGCTGAGAGAAGAGACTTCCTACAGTTTACCCAAAGAACACACAGGCCGAGTAAGAAAAACCATTTCCCACAAAGTGACCCATGCACTAAACATAAGCACGGTCTTGAAAGGACTTAAGTAGACATGCCTAAAATAAATACACACAAATGGCCGTAAAGCACATGAAGAAAATGGCCAACACCACTGATCACTATGGAAGTGCAAATCAGAACCAGAAGAGACCACCTCCTACCTATCAAGATGGTTGCTACCCAAACAGAGCAATTACCGGAGAGGGTATGGAGAACTGGGGACCTTTGTGTGTAAAATACCCCAGTCACTACAGAAATGACAGAAAATTGAAACCTGCAGTCCCACTTCTAGGTGGCTACCTAAAGGAACCAGAAGTCCAAGCATGGACAGACAGAGAGACAGACAGACACACGTGCACGTACACACACACACACACACACACACACACACACACCTTCACTGCAGACTTGGGGCTTTGGAAAGGCTCAGAAGCAATAGAAATAAGGAAGTGTGTAGGGAAATGGGCCTGGCTTTAATGAGGCCTTGGCTGTTGAGTGGAAGGGAGGCAGCACATACCAAGCTGCTCTGGGACCTAAGTGAGGAGCGGAGCCGGCTTTTATTAGTTTGCTGGGGAAAGTTAACAACTGTAGCAATGTTTCGTTTATGTTTAACAAATAAAGTTTGCTTGAAGATCAGAGTGCAGAGCTGAGCCACTAGAGGCCAGGCAGTGGTGGCGCACACCTTTAATCCCAGGACTCAGGAGACAGAGGAAGAGGGATCTCTGTGAGTTCAAGGTCACCCTGGGCTACACAAGATCGAATCTGTCTTAAAGAGAAACAGAGCTCACACAAAGGTGATCCCAGCACTTGGAATCCCATGCCTTTAATCCCAGCAGTAGGGAAATGGAGACAGATGGCGTCTGGAGATGCAGTCTGAGGACACGATCGCCCCTTCAGTCTGAGCACTGGTGGAGGTGAAAGAACTCTCAGTGGCTGGCCTCTCTGCTTCCCTGATCTTCAGCATTAACCCCTGACTCTGGATTTTTATTGTTAAGACCAACTAGAATTGGTGCTACAAAGAGCCACCATCGTGTTTGCCTGAGGGACTCCAGGTGCTCGAGAGTATGACCGAGTGGAGGGGAAGGGTTAGTAGAGGGCTGCAGCCAACACTGCTGCACGCGCTGAAAGGGGAGGGAAATCAAGATCAATGCGTCTCCTGGCAGAGCAAAGAGAGGTTAAAGGTTAAAGCAACAAGGAGGAAGACAGATGCCAAATTGGTTCATCCACTCCCAGTAACCCACCAGATATCCACGGGCCCAGGAGCCAGTGTTTTCTGGAGATGCAGCCTTCGGGTCCCTGAAGAGTAACTCAGGCAACCATTAAGACAACTCACAATCTGAGCGATTACACTGAAGTTACTGGGACACCAATAACGTACTGCCCAGCTGTGCGGCTTCCAAAATCAGGGACTTTTTAGCCAACAGAGAGCAAATGAAGCTGAAGGAGATTTTTTTGTGGTGGTGGTGGGGTCCTCAGTAGCACATTCCCCTTCTAAGCGGAATTACTCACATCGGTCAAAACGTGGAAGCAGAACTAATGCCTTTATCCAGGGGCGCGGATAAGCAACACGTACACATTGTGATAAACTATTTTTAATTTTTTTTGTTTTGTTTTTCAAGACAGGGTTTCTCTGTAGCTTTGGAGTCTGTTCTGGAACTCACTGTGTACACCAGGCTGGCCTCGAGCTCACAGAGATCCACCTGCCTCTGCCTCCTGAGTGCTGGGATTAAAGGTGTGCGCCACCACCACCCGGCTGATTTTTAATCTTAAAAAAGAAGTGTTCATGTGTGCATGTGTGATAACCTATTATTAATCATAAAAAAGAAAGAAATTTTGGCACATGCTGCAGCATGGGTGAATTTACACACACACACACATACACACACACACACACACACACACACACACTTAGTAATTCTGCTCTTCTACAGGCCACAGAATGGTCAGAGCCAAAACTAGGAGGGAGAACGGGGGCTGCTATGGACTGGGAAAGGGAAAGGATGGGTGTTTAATTAAACAGTGTTTAACAGGCCTAGAGGTTCCGAGATGAACGATGGCTATGGAGCGTGAGCTTGTTGATGCCCCTGCACTGTGTGCTCAGACTGGATCAGCTGCTTTTACCGTTGTGACGAAATATGTGACGTATACGACGTAAGGGAGGAGAGATTTCTCCCGTTCATAGTTTCCGAGGCTTCCGTCTGTCTCACGGGGAGAATGTGACAAGGCATGAAGGGAGGAGGACAGGGAATCGCTTCTCTTTTCCCAGCCTATGGAATATGACCCCACATTCTGGGCAAGTTGTCCCCAATTAGCTAATCCTCTCTGGAAATGCCCTCACAGATACATCCAAGATGTACTTTACCAAATCTCTCTCTTTTCTAATATATGTTCATGTGTGTGCAGGCATGTGTGTGGAGGCCAGAGGGTACTTCAGGTGTCACCCCAAGAATAGCATCTACATATATATTCACTGTCCCAGAGCATACCAAGTAATCTTATTGACCAATAAGCTCCAGGAATCCTCCTGCCTCTACCTCCCTGGTGCTGGGATTACAAATATGCTGCTACCAGGTGTGGTGGGCACACCTGTGATCCCAGGTGCAGTGGGCACACCTTTGATCCCAGGTGGGGTGGACAAGCCTTTGATCTCAGGTGCAGTGGGCACACCTGTGATCCCAGGTGCAGTGGACAAGCCTTTGATCCCAGGTGCAGTGGGCACACTTGTGATCCCAGCACTTAAGAGGCAGGGCAGGTGGATCTCGTGGGTCTAAGGCCAGCCTGGTCTATGGGAGGGAATTCCAGGACAGCAGAGCTACATAGTGAGATCCTGTTTTAAAGAAGCAAACAACAACAACAAAATTGTATGCCTATGTGCCTAGGATTTTTATGTGAGTTCTAGTGGTTCAGCTCGGGTCCTCATGCTTACAGTTCAAGGCCTCATTTCCACCTGAAACCTCACCGTCCACATTTCTGTCAGTACTCTGCTCTTTTGAGCTCCTACCAAAATTATCCACTGGGCTTTGCTTACCACATTTTAGTCTTCCTTAGCCTACTGTGTTTCCAGGTTCTACAGAAACAGAGCCAAGAGTGTGAATATGTACTCCAAAGGGAATTTACTATACTGGCGTACACAGCACAGTCTGGGTAGTCCAGTGGTCACCAGCACAGTGGAGAAGCCCAGATATCTGCTCAGTCTACATCTGGGCGCCTCAGCCATCCCAATCTGACCCTGGAGCCTGCAGGATTTCTGAAGCGCTTTGATCTCCAGTCCATACTGAATGCCAGAGAAATCTGGGTTCTGATCTCAGTGACAATGATAGACGCACTTGCCAGCCGTGAGAGAAGGAGGCAGTTTCCCCACACCGGGCCTCATTACATCTGGGCTGCTGTAGGAAGGTGCTGCCTATTCTAGGGAAGGGTCATCTTGCTTCTCTTCCAGGAAATGTCCTCACAGGCAGCCTAAATTAGAGTCTTTTAGCTGATTTCAGAGCCAATCAACTTGCCAGTGTTTACCATCACACCTACACCCCTAAATTTTTCCCGAGTTCTCCCACAAAGCAGTTCCAAAGGCTCTTCACCCCCATGGTCAGGTAGTCATAGCAACAACTCTACTCGGCAGTAACCCCACTGCTGATACCAATTTTCCATTGGCCTTAGATGCTGTGAGGAAATGGCTGGCAGAGACAAGTGAGGAAGAATTAGTCTGGGTGTCAGCCATTAGTGGGGGGTGTGATGGAGGGCGGCTGGGAAGGGCATCCCAGAAGCAGAGACGGGGCAGCTGTGCTCATCGTGGAGGCTGCCTTTGCCCCTTCATTCCACCAGGCCTACGAGAAGACACCCTACATTCGCAGTACCCTCTCTCCTTAGTAAATCCTCTCTGGAAAGCCTCATGCACGCCCAGGGGTGTGTTTTACAATCTTCTAAGAGTTTTTCAAACCAATCAAGTTGACAATCAGATTTGCCATCACAGATGTTATATATATACCAAAAGAAGGCAGCGGAGACAGACAAGAGTACATAGAAAAAGGTAGCAGCAGGTGGGGGTAAGGGGCGGGAGGTTGTCTCCAGCCTTGCCAAGCACATGAAAGCACTTGCCTCCAAGCCTAAATTTAATTAAGTTACAAAATAAGTTACAAATGGCACCATTTGCCTTGAGAACTGCTTCAAAATCAAAGCATTGCAACAAGCTTTAGAAACATTGTAATTCATGCTCAACAATGGGCTGGTTGTGAATAGAGCTAAGCAAAATAAAAAGGAGGCAATGACCTCAGAAACCAGCCAAACACTGTGGGAAAAGGCGATGGGAGGCTGCTGCCAAAAGATGCTCATCTCGAACTGCAGTGCATGCCTATAATCCCAGGAGTTCAGGGCCAGCCTGAGCTAAGCGAGAGTCCTTCGGGGTTGTCTAAAAAACAAGAACTGCTTATGGGGCTGGAAGGGTGGTTCAGCAGTCAAAAGCACTTGCTCTTGCAGAGGATGAGTGTTCGGTTCCCAGCACCAAGTGGGGCAGCTCATAACCACCTATAACTTCAGCTCCAGGGGGTCCGACATCCTCTTCTGATGGGTGATGTACATATGAACGTACATACATACGTATATACATACATACATGCAAAGTATTCATAAACATAATTTTTTTATTTTTTTTTATTTTTGGTTTTTCGAGACAGGGTTTTTTTGTGACTTTGGAGCCTGTCCTAGAACTAGCTCTTGTATACCAGGCTGGCCTTGAACTCACAGAGCTCCACCTGCCTCTGCTTCCCACCACCGCCCGGCTACATATTTTTTTTTCTAGAAAAAAAAATTAAAATGTTGCCGGGCAGTGGTGGCACACACCTTTAATCCCAGCACTCGGGAGGCAGAGGCAGAGGATCTCTGTGAGTCCGATGCTAACCTGATTTGCAGAGCAAGTTCCAGGACAGGCTCCAAAGCTACACAGAGAAACCATGTCTCGAAAAAACAAAAAGCAATTTTTTTCCCTAGATGTTGATAAATCTGTATATTCTAAAAAGTAGCTTGACATTTCCCATGATCAAAGAACTGCAAACTGGTGCTATCTGGAGAGTGTGCCCACCTGTCAGATTGGGGTGGAACAGGAACCTCCAATTGTTAGCAGGCCTTTGGGGTATAAGTAGAGGGAATCTTTCTTGATATAAAAGGTACAGTATTATTTCAGTGGGGACACAGGGAGGTATACTTTTACTACGTTGCTTAGAATATTTTCCTGTATTCTTTATGGGAGAATCAAGAGGGTGGGGTTCCCCAAGGAACATGGCAGAGTCAGGGAATGCCCAGCAGGTCACTTGGATGTTAGGGAAGGCACTATGGTTTCAGAGATGGACAGGGCTCCCAGATGGTGCCTAGAGTTTGAGGTGTAAGATGTAGATGTCTCCAGGGAGTTGGGGTGGTGGTGTCAGGGATGAGCAGAAAAGGAAAGTGGGGTGCAGTGGAGGCCAGATGCCTCTGATCTCCCACACAGCTCAGCACACTGTGGCCTTTGGAAATGTTGAAGGAAGCAATCTCTTGTGAACTGGGACTGGGTTCACCCTCAGGGACTCATGTTCCCCATTTCATCTTGAACCCCAAACTCGGTTCTCTAGGCTTTGGGATGGTGGGATCCACAAGTGTCTTTTGGA